CTCTCTCTCTCTCTCTCTCTCTCTCTCTCTCTCTCTCTCTCTCTCTCTCTCTCTCAGTCCGGTACTAACCTGTGAAGTTGGCGTCTTGATGCACGTACCTCGAAGATGGAGCTGGAGCTATGGCGCCACAGGTAAGTCTCGCTGGCCTCCGCCAGCCATCCCTCTCCAACACAACTACCTACCATTACCACTACTTAGCGCCCTGCGCTGAAGACTACTCCTACAGCTACTAGCGCCCAGCGCTGACTACTGCTAGCGCTAAGCTACTACTGCAGCGCTCCTCCTGAGTGCTGCTGCCGAATCCTGAAGACTACCTCCCCATGAAGTGCATGGGAACTCCCTATGTACTACTCGGCCTGCCTCCTGACTGCCTGCAGCTGCAGGGCGGGGCAGTCCAGGAGGCTGCTCTTGCCAATGCCGAAGGGAGCCAGGGGCTGCCGCCGCAGCTCCTGCTGAGGCTGTCATAGGAACAGGCCAAAAATAGCCTGTTCCCGAAACCCTGGTTTTGTGCCTGAGTGTTAGGGCAGGACGATCTTACGAGGGCCGGAAAGTGGCCCTCCGTTTCAGGCTGAAAAGCCCTCTTTTTAGGATGAAACGACATAGGGCCTGCAGGCCCTCGTTTTCAGTCTTTCAGGCTGAAACGACACGGGGCCTGTAAGCCCTTATTTCTAAGCTTTTAGGCTGAGAATGCGGGACGGGCCCTGCAGGCCCGTGTGGCTACGCAGTATGCCACAATCAATCAACCGATCGGTCGATCGGGTTGATCGATCGATTGGTAATCTGGGAGTCCAAATTCACAAGCGCAGCGCCAATACCAACTGATACATGCCCAATCGAGCGACGTATGGGAGCCAAGGATCCGCAAAGTGATGAAAAGGACCCGTATGAACAATGCAGTGTCAGCCAAGCATCAACAAGCAATGTTAATCCAGATACATATGGAAATAGCACAACGTCGCTCAACGGAAGACTCCAGATATGATCCGACTTGTCATATATTGACGCAACACCCCATCATGCACCACACATGTGTGAGAGAGAGGAGGGACCGCATACATAGATGAAAGGTCCCTCCTTGCACACGCACATGGGGGGAGATACCACGGACGAGAGATGGGGGGAGGCGAGACGAAGATGGAGGCGAGGGAGAAGACCAACATCGCGATAGCGAAGTCCAAAGAAATAGTCCCTGGCCGAGTGTCCAATCAATGTCTGCCAAAAAAATGTCGAATCAGATCCTGGGCATATGCCTGTGAAACCTCCGCCTGAAGTCTCTCTCTCTCTCTCTGTGGAAGAAGAAGAAGAAGAAGAAGAAGGAAGAAGAAGAGGTGGAGGGCGAGAACAGATAGAAGAAGAAGAAGATGATGTCGTCCTCCTCACTGTCTCACCTGCAGGTAACTGCTGCCAAGTACTGACGTCGCCGGCGTACACTGTGCTGCAGGTCGCTGGAGCCAAGTCCAGCTATGGCGCCGAGGTACGTACTCAAACGCTGCAGGTATGGCCTCCGCCCTGTCTCCCTACCTACTCCTTTACCTCTAACGCAGCGCAGCGCTGTCGTGTGCGGTGCTGGTCCAGCAGCGTGTCGCCCAAGAAGTGACCTAGTCGAACTGTGTCCGTGCCCAACCACTGCCCAGCTATAAGTAGCGTTGGGCCTGGCTGGGCGCGCCTCTCATGCTGGCCTCAAACGGCCCACTCGGTCTGAGCCCCTACCGGGCGTCCAGACCATGCTGCTGATGCAGCAAGGCGCAAAAATGCGCCTGGCCTAAGAACGGCCTCGCTCCTGTGTACCCAGCCCAAGGCGTAGCCTTGGGGCCTGCAAGTCCGAAACGACGTCTGCACAGACAAAAATAGGACAGCAAATAAGCAAATAAATAAATGCTGCCTGAAAATGAAACCTGCGGCCTGGGGGCCGCCATGGGCTTCCAGGGCACTTGTCTGATGGGCACGTGGCCTGGGGGGCCCTCAGCAACCGTCGGGCCTGTGAAATGGCGCCCGTGTGCAGGCTCAGCATGTAACAACTGCCCAGCCAGGGCTCTAACGCATGCTACTCGCAGATAGCGCACAAGTGCTCAGCAGCACTTCTGCACTTCTCGCGAATGAGCAACTTGTCCGAAATGTGGCTCGCCAGTCCCTATATTGACTTGGACTGAGCCTTGACTCGTCCCAGCTTCTCTTGGCTTGACTTGGACCCGGTACTGGCTGCCTGCGGCCTGTTTGCTTTTGGAATGTTGAGGCCCAGTACCTTCCTGAGTTTTCCTTCGAGTGCTGCTGCTTTTTGGTCTGTGGGACGTGCCCTTGGACTGTGGGACGTGACTTTTGCCTGTGGGATGTGACTTTTGACTGGATACCGGTTGGACTAGACCTCTGGGGTACCCGACTTGACCTTCCAAATCTGGCCGACTTGGCCGCTTTTGACCCTGAGATTCGAATTCGGGGTCTGCAGCGTGAAATGCCTTTCAAGGACCACAGCAGGGACGAAAGGATCGGTGCAGGCAGGGATGGAAGGAGCAAGAAATGGTGGGTAGAAGGAAGGGAGTAAGGGAGGAAACAGGTGCAGAGGATAGGATGATAGGTAATCAGGAGAGACAGAGGGGGATGTAGGGGTGATGGACAGAGGGTGGAAGCCAGAGGAAATCACCAGGGGGAGGGATGGAAGAAAGCGAGAGCAGGAGCAACCAGGGGGGGCTAGGAACGAAAGGGAGGGAAGGGGATTAGTATGGAGAGTAGGCAGGGAGTGAGGGGACAACCAAAGGGTGTTCACTGTGAATGTAAAGGGAGAGAGGGAGAAGGGAGGAGGGAGGAAGAAGGATGGACGGAGGAAGGAAGAACGGAGGGAAGGAGAGGGTTCCGCTTACAATTATATCTGACTGTATAGCAACGCAAACATACAAGGAGTAGCGTTTCTCTCTGCCTTTGCACCATGTTACTAGTCTGCCTCCTACAGGTAGATTTACTATTGACTGTAAGGTCGCCCTCTAGATTTTCTTTTGTCGCTTATATGTCAATGTTTCAATTGATTTGCAGATCTGAAATCCAAATCTCCAAAACAGGGAC